ATTGGTGCGGTCGCATCCTTGGGAGCCATCTACCTGAGGGAGCCCCCGTTACACTCTATTCTTTGGGATGAGAAGAAGTTGAGGGAAGCATTAATTGAGCAGTTTGATGAGACTGAGGTGGACGAGCACGCTCAAGAAGACATTTTATCCATCATGAGTGGGCTCGAACAGGGAGAACGTACGGTATTTGCCTACTCGCGGAAAGTTCTCAAAATTCTGCAGAGAAAGCCAGCAAGGGTCAATCAGTTCGACAAGATCCTGATATGTTACTATATCAAGGGCCTTGCAAGCCAGCGACTACGTGAGATGGCCATTTTGAGCTATCAGAAGCCAACCTCTGACGAAACGCCCTCCAAAGTTGTCAAAGCCATAATGAGATTGGCAACGCAGTTAAAAATAAAAGGGTATAGAAAGAGTGAAAGCGGCAACATCACGGGAAGTAGTGATGAGGAAGGGTCTAGTAGCGAAGATGGGTCTTACAGCAGCTCTGGTTCCGATGAGGAGGTAGGTCGAAGGTACTCAAGACGATCCTCAAAAAGGTCCAAAAGACTTGGGAAGCGGTCTGAGAAGAGACATCAGGACAAGACGAAGAGCAGGGGGCGCAACCACGATGAGGACCTCGTTCGAGACGAGATAAAAGAGTTACAGGGCATGGTACGTGACTTGATGAAGTCACAGAAAGCAGTATCTCCAAGTACGGATATGATCACCAGACGTCCAGACGTGGATCTCAGTCCCCTAGACAGTTATACGATCAACCGGACTTATGGAGGATATCCCCTGCAAGAACCTTATGAGTACGCACGGTCCAATCAAGGTGGGATAGCAATGCAACAGCCTCTGTATCCAAATAGACGCAGCCAGACACGTCAGTTTGGGAGTTCGAATCCTGGCCGATCAATGGGCAGACAGCAGGAACCAGGACGAGTAGGTCCAGCTACGTACGAACCCCCTCAACAAACTTATATGACATCCCGCGGAGGGAGTTCCATGATGCAGCCAATTGTAGGACCAAATGGCGTTCTTTACTACCCCGCACGCAATGCTCCAGTTTGTTACAGCTGCGGTGAGGAGGGGCATATACGGCCTCACTGTCTGAAACTGAGGGTTTATGGTTTGCAGGCTATACCATCCGGGAATGGGCATCCAGAGTCAACGCAGCCGAACGATATACCACCACCACCACCACCACTACCACCAGTGAGAGGTCCAGACCAAGCAGTCAGCGTTATCGAGATTGCTAGAACATCATCCGCGTTTGATGGAGTAAAGGTTAGAGAGGTGACGGCGGCAGAGGTTGACGAGAAGAAGTTGATGCAGTTTGTTAAAAAGATTTCTAGGGAGACCGATGATGAAGATGGCAGCAGCTTTTCCGATGAGGAGGCACCCGTGATGGCGGGAGAGCGAGTGCGGCGCTTTAGTGAGCTGCCACTAGAGTTCGACGGCGAGGAAGGACCGGCAAGCCAGCGACAGAGAACCGAGGTGGTCGAGGAAATAGCTCCACAAGTACGCCCTATCAAGCAGCCTGCCATTCGAGCAAGACACAAGCCTATCCGCATGATGGCGGGGAGAGAGCGGTTTGATTTTGTTAGTGCTTTTAGAGACGCACCAGTACAGGGTTTAAACTGGGGGTCATTCTTTGACTTGGCTCCTAGTGTCAAGAAAGATATCTGTCGCTTGTTGGTCCAAGAGCGGGTGAAGGGTCTCGAGCGCAGCAAAGGGAAAAAGCGGGGTAAGAAAGGTATGATTGATACCAGGACGCAGGATACTCCCACGGGAGAAGAGGCACATCTTATTGCAACTGATCGCGATTTCGGTGATGTTACCAACTTTTATACTCGCGGGACCGTCAAGACGGAAAAGGGGAATTACCACATCACTCGCATCCTCGTTGACGCTGGCTCAGTGGTAAATCTGATGCCTATTAGAGTCTTGAAGGCAATTGGAGCTAGATTGATCAAGACAAATGGGATGGTCATACGAACTGCGACGAACGCATTGGCGCGGATCTCATACTACGCTGATCTGTGTATTACGGTAGCAGGAGTACCCTGTGACCTCCAGGTATATGCACTTCCCGCTGAGTACAGTCCCACATATCCTATGCTTCTCAGCCGTCGCTGGCTCCAAGCAGTGAAGGTAAAGGGAGATTATTCGAATGGTCGGTACTATATCACTAGTGAGCATGGAACTCGTATTCAGATTCCTAGTGACGAGAAGTACAAACGCAAAGTGCAGAAGACGGAATGCGGGCGGCGCCCACGCGTACCGGTGATATTACGGGATAAGAGCACTAGAAGGACGCAGTTATCTGCAGAAGTTGAAGAGGAGTTAGAGCTGCAAGAGGCTCAAGGGAGTAGGTTTTTTGAGCGGTTGATTGAGGTTATCAGGCGTGAAGCAGATGCACAGATCAGGGAAGAAGAGGATGATGTGTCCTATGATAGTGGGATTTCCGAGAGT